CAGGTTTAATTTGTTAGTGTGCCCTCGGTAGTTAATTTGCCTAAACCTTTTAAACCCTTACGTGTGTTTTAACCAAGGTTTTAGTCCCAGAAGAGAATTAGAGATTAGAGAGAATTTACTCTAGTTTATTAAAGCGCTCTGTTGACGGAAGGTACAGCAACCCTTTACAATCAACACTACGCAATTAACGCCGAATAATACGCACAACCTGACCTCAAACAGACATCAACAGCGCAATTTAAAAACAAGTCGAAAAATGAGCAGTTTTAGGCGGTGCGATAAGGGTGCAAGGGGGGAGATAGTGTAGTACTATTGAAGAGCTGTAGGCCTGTGTGTCCAGGCAGGACTGTTGGTCAAGTCCAGAGGGAAAATCTCTCTCTCTCTCTCTCTCTCTCTCTCTCTCTCTCTCTCTCTCTCTCTCTCTCCTTGTCCTTTCCCCTTTATTTCCTCTCTCCTTCCCAGTCTCCCCTATCCTCTCTGACCTCTCACTCTTTCTCCTCTCTCTCTTTCCCATCCCCTTTCCTCTCTCTCTCTCTTTCTCTCACCCTCTCTTTCTCTCCTCTCCCTCTTCTCTCCTTCTCTCTCACCCTCTCTTTCTCTCCTCTTTCTCTCCTCTCCCCTCTCTTTCTCTTACTCTCTCCTCTCTCCCTCTCTTTCTCTCCTCTCTCCCTCTCTTTCTCTCCCCTCTCCCTCTCTTTTTCTCACTCTCTCCCTCTCTTTCTCTCCTCTCTCCCTCTCTTTCTCTCCCTCTCTCCCTCTCTTTTCTCACTCTCTCCCCTCTCTTTCTCTCTCTCTCCCCTCCTCTTTTCTCTCCTCTCTCCTCTCTCCCTCTCTTTCTCTCTCTCTCTCCCCTCTCTCTCCTTCTCCTCTCTCCCTCTCTTTCTCTCCCTCTTTTCTCTCCTCTCTCCCTCTCTTCTCTCCCTCTCTTTCTCTCCTCTCCCTCCTCTTTCTCTCCCTCTCTTTCTCCTCTCTCCCTCCTTTCTCTCCCTCTTTCTCTCCTCTCTCCCTCTCTTTCTCTCCTCTCTTTCTCTCCTCTCTCCCCTCTCTTTCTCTCCCTCTCTTTCTCTCTCTCTCTCTTCTCCTCTCTCCTCTCTTTCTCTCCTCTCTCCTCTCTCTTTCTCTCCTCTCTCCTCTCTTTCTCTCCTCTCTCCTCTCTTTCTCTCTCTCTTTCTCTCCTCTCTCCTCTCTTTCTCTCCTCTCTTTCTCTCCCTCTCTCCCTCTCTTTCTCTCCCTCTCTTTCTCTCCTCTCTCCCTCTCTTTCTCTCCTCTCTTTCTCCTCTCTCCTCTCTTTCTCTCCTCTCTTTCTCTCCTCTCCCCTCTATTTTTGCCCTCCCCATCACCTGGGCCTCGCGTCCCCTCACTCTCGTTGCTAGGCAGACCCAGCGACAGTGTGAGGGGTTGCTAGGCGGAGAGGGATGGTTGCTAGACAAGAAGGGCACAGAGATAGACGGTCAATTTGGATAAACAAAGGTAGAGCTATCTGTCTATGTGCGTGTCTGTCTCTCTTTGTATGTATGTATGTATGTATGTATGAATGTATGTATGTATGTATGTATGTATGTATGTATGAATGTATGTATGTATGTATGTATGGATGGATGAATGTATGTATTCTCTCGTTTACCCCTCTATCTCTCTCTCCCCAACACACACACACACACACACACACACACACACACACACACACACACACCCAATATCGAGAGCCGTCACCTCCACATAGCACTGCTCCACTGCATAGCTTTAATCACCCTCCCTCCCCCAGCATAGCACCCCTCGACACTACAAGGAAGCCATGCACTAGGACACCGCTCTACACTTTATCTCTTGTGCTATACTGTAATAACTCTTCATTTTAAAACCTTTATCTTGCTCTACGGTGATGCTATGTAGTGTTATCTCTACATAGCGTTTGTTAGAATCAACTGTAACGCTATACTGTACATTACTGTTCCAAAATTTTTGCTATGTATTTTTGTACTGTAATAATAATAATAATAATAATAATAATAATAATAATAATAATAATAATAATAATAATAATAATAATAATAATAATAATAATAATAATAAAAAAGTTAGAACGCGTGATAATTTAAACAATAATCCAATTAACAAACAAACAAACAAACAAACAAACAAACAAACAAACAAATCCATAAGAAACCAAACAAAGTAAACAAATAAATTCAATAAACGAACTCGAATAAATAATTAATTAAATTATTATATATAAAATTAATTAAATAACTAAATCGTAAAAGCAAAATTTAAAATACACCAAATATTTTTTTTAATTACTTAGGACCCATTTCCGTCTGTCTCTCTCAATTAACATTAAAATTATTGACAATGATTTTTAGAAGAAATTCCTACTGAAGAAAATACATATCTGGTGTCTGTCTGTCTGTCTGTTGAGATTTATTATTAATTTAGGTGAAATATGTTGTAAATGGTGTGTGGTGGTGGTGGTGGTGGGGTGGTGGTGGTGGTGGTGGTGGTACCCTCAAGCCAAAGTTACCTGTGTACCTACCACTTCACCGACCTACTTGCTCACCTACCCACCTCACCTACCCACCTCACCTACCCACTTCACCTACCCACCTAACCACCTCACCTACCCACCTGCCCACCTCACCTACCCACCACACCTGCCCACCTACACTACCTCCCTACCCACCTCCCCACCTACCCACCCCTCACTCCCCCCGCCCCTCCCCCTAGACCACACTAACTCACCTAAGTGTTCAATATCAATGAAGACAGACCCCAACACACGGCTCTGTCCTGCCTGCTGCAATAAAGTGTGCAATGATACCGTGTTGCTAGATTGCTATTGTGTGTGTGTGTGTGTGTGTGTGTGTGTGTGTGTGTGTGTGTGTGTGTGTGTGTGTGTGTGTGTGTGTGTGTGTGTGTGTGTGTGTGTCCTGCCTCCCTTCCTCCCCATTTCCTCCATTCCTTTCTGCCTCCCTCTCTTCCTTCCCTTTTCTCTCCCTCCTCTCTCTCCCTTCCATCTCCCCTCTCCTCCTCTCTCCCTTCCATCCTCCTTCTCCTCTACCCACCATCCTCCTCCCCTCTCCCCTTCTCCCTCATTCTAATCAAATCCTTTGTCCAAAAGCTTCCTCCTATTAATCAGAATATCGATTTTTCCCCAACTAATTTAGTCTCCCCATATAAGACAACCTACCAACAGAAAACGGGATGAAGGTCTGTTTTAGAACAACATTGTCACATAACCACCACAGTATTATTATTATTATTATTATTAAGAAATTAAGTTGATCTACAGTAATTGAATTAGAGAGTAAACTCTCTCTCTCTCTCTCTCTCTCTTAATACGCATCTACGCATCTGTTATCAAGACCACTACGCATTCACACATTTCTCACAATACTAATAAAGATAAAAACTTAAGAAAAGTTAAATTAGGATAAAGCGATAATGACGGAGAGATATGCATGTGAGGGCACTCATAGAAATTGTGTGTGGGGAGGAAGGAAGGAGAGGAGTAGAAGAGAGAGAGAGTTGTGTTGCTCCGCCTGTTGAAAGACACAAAGCAAACATCACAGTCAAACAACTTTACAAACACACAAACATTAACACTGTTCCAAACACACCATAAAAACACAAACCTAACAAACGTCCACACGCAAATCCACCCTCACCAACAGACACAAACACCCTCATGAAACAAACACACACAGACCCACAGCACCAAACACTCCCATAAACAAACACACACAGACCCACAGCACCAAACACTCCATAAACAAACACGACCCACAGCACCAAACACTCCATAAACAAACACACAGACCCCTCAAACTTCTAATAAACAAACAAACACAGACCCCCCAGCCACATACAACATGCCCCATAATTTATTTTTTTTATGTTAAAGAAAGGAAAAAGAAAGTCTATATCTTCCTCTCTAGTTAGAAATTCTTTGAGGGAGAGAAAGTTGAGTGGTGCTGAGGGGGTTGAGAGGTTACTTTCTGCCAAGTGAGAGGGAGTTAGAGAAAGTATAGAAAGTATTGAAAGTAAGAAATAATAGTAAAAATAATAATAATAATAATAATAATAATAATGATAATAATAATAATAATAATAATAATAATAATAATAATATAATAATAATATAATAATAATAATAATAATAATAATAATAATAATAATAATAATAATAATAATAATAATAATAATAATAATAATAATAATAATAATAATAATAATAATAATAATAATAATAATAATAATAATAACTACAACATCAACAACAAAAATCCAACACAAATTTATATAGAAAACAAAACAAAATCCCATCGACAATAGACTCAGAAACCTACTCCTCTCCCCCCCAAAAAATATAAATGGTTGTAACTGTCGAAAAAAAATATAAGGATCGGAATCGCTATACAAGGGGATCGAATTCTATAAGATATAGGTTCAGATCCTATAACCGGATAACATAGCCTTTGTCGGACCAGAAATAGTTTGGTGTTGTTTGTATGTTTGTGGAGTTTGTTTTTTGATCACGTTTTGTGTTTGTTTGTTTATTGTGAGTTTATTTACGCTGTGACAGACTGACAGCTTGATAGACAGACAGACTTACCATTCCTGGCCTTAAAGACAGACCTACACAGAGAGACAGACAGACGACCTCTATTAAATACAGACAGACAGACACAGGTCGTTCTTATCGTGGACGAGTAATGACGACTTTCTCATCTCAGTCGTTCTCCCACGATGGGTCGTAACTAACAATTTATTACCCAACACCGAGATAGAGGTGTTAGGTTTATACGTCCTTATTCCAGTCCAGTCAAAAAATCATTGATTACAATCTCCAGCTAATCTAACTCTAACCTCTTAACCTAACTTAACCCGACCTTGTCATAACCTGAAATGACCCTAATTTAACTTAAACTCACCTTTAACATAACCTAAAGTAACCCTACCCTAACCTAACCTAACCTCACCATCTCTTTCCCCATTTACAGACGAAGAAACACCCAGTGAACCACATTAAGAGGCCAATGAACGCCTTTATGGTCTGGTCACAGTTAGAGCGGCGTAAGATAGTCCAGCGACACCCGGACATGCACAACGCTGAGATCTCCAAACGTCTCGGGAAGCGCTGGAAGACTCTATCATCGGTGGAGCGTCAACCTTATATAGACGAAGCAGAGACTGAGACTTCTTCATATGCAGGAGTACCCAGATTATAAGGTATGTTGGGATTAGGTTAGGTTTTGGTTAGGTTTAGGTTAGGTTAGGTGTGTGTTAAACTATGATGTGATGGTTTTATGGTGTTTATGGTTTAACTTGAAGATTAATCACCTTAACCTAACCTAAAATAACATAACCCTAAAAAGCTAACCTAATTTATATACAACCTAACATAACATAACCTACAAAAGCTAACCTAATTTACCTTAACCTAACCTAACATAACAACCTAAAAGCTAACCTAATTTACCTTAACCTAACCTAACAACATAACATAACCTAAAAGCTAACCTAATTTACCTTAACCTAACCTAACCTAACATAACAAAGCTAACCTAATTTACCTTTAACTAACATAACATAACATAAGCTAACTAATTTACACCAACCTAACCTAACATACCTTAACCTAAAGCCAACCTATTTACATAACCTAACCTAACCTAACATAACATAACCTTAACTAATACTAGACCCTAACCTAACATAACCTAAGCAACACGATTTTATAACCTAACCTAACATAACCTAAAGCTAACCTAATTTACCTTAACCTAACCTAACATAACCTAAAGCTAACCTAATTTACCTTAACCTAACCCTAACCTAAAGCTAACCTAATTTACCTGAACCTAACCTAACATAACCTAAAGCTAACCTAATTTACCTGAACCTAACCTAACATAACCTAAAGCTAACCTAATTCACCTTAACCTAACCTACTGTAACGCTAAACTAACCAAACATGACGGTGGTTAATCTTCTGTAAAAGTAAAATGTTAGTGTTGGGTTTGGTAAATGTATTTCAGCCCGTGTTTATCAATGACGTCACATTCCCCCTCCTGTTCCCGTTTTCTTTACTTAACTCAATTATTCTTAAAATCACCTCTAGTCTTCTCTTAGGTGTGGTGAGGTTAGATTAGAGTTAGAGATGGAAGTAGAAAAATAGGTTGAAGACAGAAGAGTTAAAGAGTTAATAAATTTAAGAATGCACAATACAGTTGCCAATGAGAGACACAAAGGGCCGCACTCCTCACACTGTGGCATCTTAGTGCCTATGTTGTTGTTTGGTGTGTTGTAAAAATAATAATAATATTAATAATAATAATAATAATAATAATAATAATAATATATAATAATATATATATATATAATAATAATAATATGTAATAATAATAATTTTCCTATTTCCTTCCAACACAAATAGTGCCAAAGTGAAAATTATATTCATGAGAAGAGACAGAACAAGAGACGGGGGGACATATACCTCGTAAACAAAGGTACGAACCAACAGGAAATTGCACCTGACTTTGTTTTTTTTTTACTTCATCTCTCTCTCTCTCTCTCTCTCTCCACACACACAGGTAACAGCTTCCCCGCGTCATGTCATCTATTTAAAGTCTACCTGTCCTTACCTTTGATTAATTATAAACATACCTGGTCCCTGATTCTCAAAGGGTCCTACCATAAAAAATGTCCCCTCAACTCCACATATGATGCCGTATATGGCTCAAACTACAAAGATGGCTCCAAAAGGTTCCTACGAGTCAAATTCTTCCTCTAACGCTTCTAATTAACTCTATTTAAACAAGGATTCAACAAGGGTAAACAAGATGGCGTCGATATAAGTCAGAGACTCTACCGGGCCTTAATGTGGGCTGTCAGTATCCAAAGGAAGAATTTATAATGGTATAACTCTCTTGGGAGACTTCGGGACCTGTCTAGCGCGGTGCAGTGTGGGATTTACAGGGAGGGGGAAGGGGAGAGGGGGGAGGTGAAGTAGGTAGGGGGTAGAGGAGGTATGGGATTGGAGAGGAGGGTAGGGGAAGGGAAGGGAAGAGGAGACACGGATAGGGAGGGAAGGAATGGGAGGGAGATGAGGAAGGTTTGTCTAGGAATGAGGAATGTTGCAAAGCGATGGTGAGGGAGAGAGGCAGGTGGAGGGGGGGATGAGGGAGAGGGTGAAAGAGAGGGGTAAAGGAAGGAGGGGGGAGAGGAGTGGGTGGAGGAAGGGGGAAGGGGATGAGGGTAGGAGGTGGAGGGATGAGAGACGTGAGTGGAGCACCTTACACCCCATTTTCTATGCCTCCACAACACCCTAACACACCGTTTTCTTTGCCCTCCCCCACAGTACCGGCCGCGGAAGAAGGCGCGTCTCCTGCCGTCGTGTGTGTCAGGTCGTATAGGGTCGCGCACGCCCTCCCCGTCCTCTTCTGGCACCACGCCCCGTCGTAAGCGTCGCCCAGCAGTCAAGCTTTTGTCCTCCACTCGACTTAGGATCACCGTCTCCACCCCGTCTAGACCCTCCCAGGCCACCCAGAAGAAGAAGAGAGGAGGAGGAGGAGGAGGCAGAGGAAGAGGAGGAGGCAGAGGAAGAGGAGGTAGAGGAAGAGGAGGAAGAGCAGAAGGAGGAGGAGTAGGAGGAGAGTGTGACCGCCAGAACAGCCTCACCAGCAGTAAGAGAGGAGGAAGAGGCTCAAGAGGCAGGAAGAGCACCAGCAGCAGGAGGGGCGGGGGCTACAGGGGGGGACCATCTAAGGGCTCAAGAGGAGTACCTAAGGGCGCTAAAGGGGGACTCTCTAAGGGCTTCTTCACCCCACCGACGCCACCCTCCCCGGCCTGTCCCTCACCTTCGTCACCAGAGTCCGCCGTCTTCTTCCTAGATGATGACGCCCACGCCCACACGCCCACCCACTCGGGATACAGTAGCGCCCTCCTGGATTGCTGCTCGGTTCTGGACACGCCCACGCCCTCCCCGGAGCCCGTACACGCCACGCCCACCAGGGATCCCAGCGACTCTCTGGGGGAGTTCTCCCATTGATATACTGCAGGTGAGAGAGAGAGAGAGAGTGAGAAATAGAGAGTAAAATATAGAGAGAGATAAAGAGAGAGAGAGAGAGAGAGAGAGAGAGAGAGAGAGAGAGAGAGAGAGAGAGAGAGAGAGAGAGAGAGTAAAAATATAGTGAGAAAGAAAGAGAAATAAATATATAGAGAGAGATAAAGTGAGAGAGAGAGAGAGAGACTTAACCTAACCTAACACCCCCTTTAACTCGTCTACTCACCACCAGATGTCTCCAGAGTTTCCAGTAGACTTGGACCTCACCCCGGAGTTGGACCTTGAATCTTGCTCCTCCTCGACCACCACCTCAGCCTCGGGATCCCACTTTGAGTTCTCGTGTACTCCTGACGTGGCTGACGCTCTCTGTGACGTAGGGCTGACGGTATCTGATTGGCTGGACCCTTCCCTGAACAGCTTGATCTGTTCTTAAGGAGGTTGATTACTTGTGCCTCTCAAGCTTGTGTTTACTCCCTTGTGATTGGCTCCTTTCTCTTGAGGGGAGGAGCCAATCGTGTTGCTGGTGAGAGAAAGTAGGAATTAGAAAAAGAACTTCCTGGAAATTTTTGTGTGGTGAACATCATAAAAGAAAGTGATTAGAAAGGAAGTCTTCATGAAGGAGATTAGAAAGCCTCCATTTTGAGCTTACCCGTCTGTATGGGAACTTTGTGTTGGCAATGATGGAGAAAGCAACAGGACTTTCTCTATTGGAAATCCTACAGGAACTCTACTGTATCTGATAGGATAAAGAAAGTGAGTAGAAATTACTCCTAAGACGCCTTCAAAAAAGGTTTGGTGCCATTAGAAAGTCTGTAGGACCTCTGAGGGGATAAACAGAGGATATAAGACTCTTTTATAAGACTTTCTGCCCCTGGAAATGTTATTGGAACTTAAAATGTTTGCCTGGGTGAAGAAAGATAATATATAGGATTTCTTTACAAGACTTTGTGTCTATAGAAATCTTATAGGAACTTAATGCTGAAGACGATGAGAAAAAAGTGAAAGTATCATTTTTTGGTAAAAGGAGACGAGAGGGGAGAAAATAAAAGCAAATAGAAAGTATATAGAAATGATGGGTTTTTGGGGAAGCTTTGTGCTTCAGTGGTAATGAACTTTCTACTATCAAAAGAAAGTAAGAAAGTTAATTAATGACTTTACAGGTATATAATAACATTAACGAAATAAACAGATAAAATAATGTACCTTTTTTATATACAAACTCAAGGTCATTTAAATGCGATAAGAAAACAGATCTCTCAAGGTGAAACACAATAACATAGTCAGTTCATTTAGGTATTAGGAATAGAAATAAATATATATGTGTGTATATATATGATTTATATATACACACACATATATATACATTTTTGAGATAATAATTAAGGCTTACGTTCAGATAGTCTCATTGTTGGATGGTGACGAGCGAAGGATTCCTTGGTTGACATTCCTAAGGATATATTATTCTCTAGGTCTGTTCTGTACTGTAGGGTTGATTATATCACAGTAGGTAAATGTTGTGGCTCTTAAAACTGTTGCTAAGATAGTCATTCACACACACACACACACACACACACAAGCATACTAAGTCAAATTCATACACACACACACACACACACACAGACACACACACACACACACACACACACACACATATATATATACACATATATTGATTGATTGACGAATGAAAATATCAACACACATTATTTATACAACAACTACTACTACTACTACTACTACTATACTATACTACTACTATTATTACTGATAGTACGTAACTAGGTGAAAATACCAGGTGAAAATCATGAAAATCAATTAATATTTTTCATGGTTAATACCTCCCAAAGAATCCTAATGACAATGACGTTTTATAATGATTGAATTCGTAGACAATTTATATAGAAGGAGATAAGGATTGTACTAATCTGAGTGAATCATTGTATCTCTGGATTAGTCATGTGATTGTATATATTTTGAAACGATTCGCATTAATACATAAATTGTCTACGGATTAACTTAACAATTGGATGTATCTGAATTGAATCGTTTAAAGGATTTGGTGTATAGGAACCTGAATCGTGTAAGATATACTGTAGTGTTCTCTGGATTTTATATAAACAACTAGATGTATAGGAATGAGTCATGTAACCAAATGTGTGTGTTGTGAGGAAATGCTAATTAATCGCAGTGAGAATCTTGTTGACGCAGAAGACGTATTTTGTACCGTGTTTACATTCTCACGGCTCACGAACGCCCTTGTGAGATTCGTTTTCTTATACGCATTTTTAATACAGAAAGGTAAAGTGTAATATATCTGGGCATTAAATAAGGTAAGGTTTTTTTTTTATCTTGGTAACAATGTAAAAACAAAACAGTGGTATTTTGTTTTGTTTTGAAAGGTAATATATAATAATTACCTGTTTGTAGGAATTTTTTTTTACGAGGTTACAGTGTTAATAATGATCCCAGTGGTACCTCATTAGCATTTCACGTGACCTCATGATAAGCCATTGTAAGGAGGCCACGGTGTTAAAACATGACCTCCAATTGGTATTACCTCTATGGGTGATTGCAATGTAAAACTAACCTCCAATGGTACACTTTCAGGACTACACCCCTTGGTACTTTTTTAAAGGGAGTAGAGGAAGTGACCCCCCCCCCCAGGACATAAATTGGAGGTAGTCTCACTTAAAAAGAGAAAAACTTATACACCCATTGATATGTTTTTTAGGGGTCATTGTGAAAAAAGACCCTCCATATTGAAATTTTTTTAAGGGGTCAGTGTGTAAAAAATGACTCCATATTGATACGATTTTTTAAGGTCATTATAAAGAAGTTGATCCCAATACTTAAGAGGTTAAATGACCCATAATGACCTATTCCATGTGAACCCTTCTCCTCCCACCCCCGTTATAGGGACGTATATAAAGGAATCTTTTTATTACTTTTATATTATGATAGATAGATCGATAGATAGATGCGTAGATAGATAGTATACCAGTAGTTAGGTGGATTAATGTGTACAGAACATGTAACGATGTTAGTTTGTGTTTATTGTTAAAACAAATGGTAATAATTATGATATATATATATATATACTGTAATCGTTCAATCTCACCAGCCGCATTTATTCCTTCTTCCTTCCTTCCTCTTCTCCTCCTTTCTTCATCCTCCTCCCCCTCCTCCTTTCTCTTTGTTTTCTCCTTTCTTCTATTCCCCCTCTTCTTCCTCCTCCTTCTCCTCTTTCTCCTAAGTCTTAATCTATCAGTTTCATGTCATTTTCTCCTTCTTTCCTCTCTTCTTCCCATTTCTCAATCTAATCCTTATTCGATTCTCTTCCTCCTCCTCCTCCCATCTTTATCTCTAATACTCTTTCTATTCCCCTCTTTTCCCTTCTTCCCTTCCTCATTATCCTTTACACAATCATCCTCGTCTCCCTCCTCTAGTTCCCTCATTCGCATCCGTTTTATACATTGAATAACGTATTCCCCCCGTGTTAATCTTCAGGTTTATTATTCATTAAGGGAAAAGTATTGCGGTAAATGGGAAATGAATAACTGTGATGAATAAGAAGGAAAGGAAATGAAGATCAGTGAATAATAGAGAGATGAAGAAATACTCGGTAATGAATAAGAAGAAATGGCAAAGGTAAAGAAGAAATAGGTGAACAATGAATATTAGGAATGAAGGGAAATATGATAAAGAAGGAAGAAGAATGAAATCAAACATCTTTAACTCAAATTCCGATTCACTTCCATTTTAAACCAAACTTTTGAGTGAATGAAGCTTCGAAACTTTGTGATAAGTGGACTTTTTTAGAGTTTCGAATCAATAAATTGAAACTGGCTAAGTGAAATGTACAGCTTCGAGTAACTGAATCAAACAAAGCCTCAATAAGCTTCGAAATAAGAGAGAAATGTAAAGGTTTAGATAAATAGAACTTAAAAAGAAAAGCATCGAATATTAGTGAAGCTTCGAATCAGTCTAGCAGTGAGGCTTCGAATCAGTGTAAGAGTGAGGCTTCGAATCAGCGTAAGAGTGAGGATTCGAATCAGTGTAAGAGTGAAGCTTCGAATCAGTGTAACAGTAAGGCTTCGAATCAGTATAACGGTGAGGCTTCGAATGAAAAAGAGAAAACGGTTTACAGTAATTAATGAATATTTATACTAAGAAATTAATAACTACAAGAAGATAAATCAAGAAAATGTATAAATAATATTAACGAGGAAACAACGATAAACAAATGAATAGAAAGAAAAAACAATAACGTAGAAGAATAAAAAGGAAACATTAAGACTGACAAACATTGAGGTGATCGCTATATATATGTGTGTGTAATAAAAGGAAGAAAAAGTATAAAAATATGACACTTTATATATTAATCAAATTTAGGTTCATAAGTTATTGTTTGTCTTGAAATATATTCTCAAGACAATAATAAGTTACATGGTGTTTAAGTGACATTATTGACATACATACACACAGCTATTGTATATGTAGGGAATAGATCACGTACAGATTATAAAATTGCAGAAATATATCATTCACGTGAAAAAAAAATATACTCAAAGCAAAAATAATTTAAATGTCCATAATGCACAAAAAAAATGATAAGGTTTACCTACACAAACTTTTAATTAACCTGGAACGTCCAAAGGTACCCACTAATTATACAGGTGTTAGTGCCTATGTACACAACTCCATAACATCTGCAATATCCCCAAAGGTGTTAACTGGGGTGTTTTGTAGCAGTTGTCACGTTAAATCAACATGTGAAGATTAATAGTGTGTTGTGTCCAGAACCTCTCACCAACTGTCTGCAACAACTGTGAATCTTTTTGCCCTCCAAGAGACAGTCTCATAATCATCTCGGCTCATATTATTGTGATTATTTTAGTGTTCGATTTCGGTGCTGGTGCCTGTATCCTGCCTGCCAAGTGAGTGAGTCTACCAGTGTACCAAAACCATAACCGAACAGAGAGAAAAAAAAGGTGTTCGGATTCATGATCAAACAGAAAAAAAACAGTGTGTATTCTTTTGTTCAAGTCGTGGTGAAGCAAGTAAACAAAGCAGTGTTCGAATCCTTCACCAATAAAGCAGAGTAGTGTTTCGAAACCACTGCCAATAAATGAACCAGTGTACCATATTAATATGAGAAATCAAGAAGCAGTGTATAACAAAACCTGACCCCAGTGTACGAAACATTAATCGAACATGAAGCAGTTGTTCGAACCAAACGACCCTTCTACACCCTCCACCCCAAAGCAAACCAGCTTTTAAACTCAGGTACCCATCCATAGTGTATGAACTACTACTCACCTCTCTGTGTATTACTGTGTTATTGCAGCTGTGTATTACTGTGTTATTGCAGCTGTGTATTACTGTGTTATTTACAGCTGTGTATTACTGTGTTATTTACAGCTGTATATTTAACAAAACAAATGCTGTATACTAGATAACATTGCATCAACTTAACTTATTTTGTTAAGGAAATATCTGCATTATTTTTGTCCCAAGTATGAAGCATGGCTCTGTGATAGTTCATGTGATTTGATCTCTTTGTCCATAATTGGGAGATAGTTCATGGTATTTTCTTTACTTTTGGGCCACGAATGTCAAACTACTCAAAGGTTTCGGTTTTATGAGAAAAAGATTGGTATTGTCTGAATCGTTTATTGAGACAAGATTAGTAAAGGATTCGTCTGTTTCGGTTTTCTGTGATAATGATTGGGTGAGGGTTGTTACCTGTTTCGATTGGTTTTAGTCCGAAAATTTCAAAGTAGTTTAAAGGTTTTGTATTTGATGATAAGCTATTGAAGAGGGCTCATTTGTTTCGATATATTGAGACTTAGAATGGGACAGGGTTCGTTAGTTTCGAACATTCAGATGAAAAAGGGTTCGAATGTTTTGATCTTTTGT